TCAATATAATATTGGCTGTGGGATTGCTATAGATAGGCTCCACATTAAGAAATGACCCATATAAGCCCATTTTCTTAAGTGTTCTGATCATGAAAGGATGCTGGATATTATCAAAACCTTTTTCTGCATCAACTGAGAGAATCATATGGTCTTTGTTTTTGATTTTGTTTATGTGATGTATTATATTTATAGATTTATGTATGTTGAACCAACCTTGTAACCCTGGGATAAAACCAACTTGGTCATGGTATATAATTTTTTTGATGTGTTGTTGAATTCGGTTTGCTAGGATCTTATTGAATATTTTTGCATCTATATTCATTAATGATATGGTCTATAGTTTTTTTTTTTTCTTTCTTGGGTATTTTCCTGGTTTGGGGCTCAGGGTGATATTTTCTTTGTAGAATGTGTTGGGAAGTATTCCTTTTTTTTCTGTGTTTTGGAAAAGGTTACATAATATAGGTACTAGTTCCTCTTTAAAGGCTTGGTAGAACTCTGATATGAAGCCATCTGGTCCCAGAATTTTCTTTTTTGGGAGATTTTATATAGTTGATGCTATTTCAGTGCTTGATATAGGTCTATGCAACATTTCAAATTATTTCTAGCTGAGTCTACTAAGGTAGTGTACTTCCAGGTATTGGCCTATTTCCTCCAGATTTTCATATTTCTAATAATACAGTTTTTGTAGTAATCATTAAGGATATTTTTAATTTCTGAGGGTTCTGCTGTTATTTCTCCTTTATCATTTCTGATTGATGATATTAGGGATTTTACTTTTCTGTTTCTGGTTAGGGTAGCCAAAGGTTTATCAACTTTGTTAATATTTTCAAAAAGCAATTTTTGATTCATTTATCTTCTGAATGATTCCTTTGTTTTCAATTTCATTTAATTCTGCTCTAATTTTGGTTATTTCCTTTCTTCTGCTGGAATTGAGGTTGGATTGTTTTTCCTTTTCCAGTTGCTTGAGATGACCTATTAAGTTGTTGACTCCTCTTTTTCCATTCTTTTGATAAAGTCCTACAACACTATAAATTTCCGTCTTAGATGCCTTTGCTGTATCCCACAGGTTTTGATAATTCATGTCTTCATTGTCATTTTGTTCCAAAAATTTGGTTATTTTCTTCTTAATCTCACCTTCGATCCAGCTATCATTCAGCAAAGGTTATTTAGTTTGCATGACTTTGAGTATGAAGATTCCTGTTGTTGTTGAGTTCAAATTTTATTCCATGATGGTCTGAGAAAATGCAAGGAATAATTTCTATTCTTTTAAATTTGCTGAAGTTAGACTTGTGACCTCAGATGTCATCAATTTTAGAGGATGTTCCATGGGCTGATGAGAAGAATGTGTATTCAGTTTTATTAGGATGAAATGTTCTGTAGCTGTCTGTTAAGTCCATTTGTTGTAGGGTCAAATTTAAGTCCAATATTTCTTTGTTTAGTTTTTTCTTGGAGGATCTAGCGAACACTGCCTAAAGGGTGTTAAAATCTCCCACTGTTATGGTGCAGGAAGATATCAAATTGTTCATGTGTGTTAGGGTTTCCTTTATAAACTGAGGAGCATTTTGGTTGGTGTATAAATGTTAATAATTTAAATCTCTTCATGTTGAGTGTTTCCTTTGACAAATAAGAAGTGACCATCCTTATCTTTCCTTACCTTTGTTGGAGTAAAGTCTATTGTATCTGCAAATAAAATTACAACCTCTGGTATTTTATGATTTCCATTTGCCTGAATTATAGATGTCCACCCCTTCACCCTCAGTCTATTTTTATCCTTTAATGTAAGATGAGATTTTTGTATGTAACAGATATCTGGCCTGAGTTTTTGTATCCAGTCAGCCAATCTGAACCTCTTTAGAGGACAACTTAAGCCATTCACAATAATTGAGAGGCTTGATAGGCATGGTAGTGTTTTTGGTTGTCATGTTTTTCAAGTGCCCAGTGGATATTTTTAATCCTTTCACCATTGTAGATGTTAGGTTTTGTTTAATAATTTCTGCATGAGTTTACTTTGCTGATAGACCATTACGCTGATAATTATGGAGGATGGGTCTGAGAATATCCTGGAGAGCTGTTTTAGTTATGGAAAATTCCTTCAACATGTATTCAAATCAAAGAAAAAAATCAAATCAAAGTATTTGATTTCTCCATCATGAATGAAATTCAGTTTAGCTGGATACAGCATCCTGGGCTGAAAGCTGTTTTGTTTTAGGAAATTGAAGGTTGATGACCATCTTCTTCTGGCTTGAAAAGTTTCAGCTGAGAGATCTGCAGTCATCCTAATATTCTCCCCTTTGTAGGTTATGCTTTTCTTACATCTGGCTATTTGCAAACTTTTCTCCTTCTTATTAACTTTGGCAAAGTTAATTACAATGAGTTTAGGAGATGCTTTATTTTGATTGAATCTTGTTTGGGTTCTGAAGCTGCTATCTGAATTTAAGTATCCCTTGCAATGCTTGAGAAATTCTCCTCCATAATTTCCTAGAGTAGAGCATCTGTTCCTTTAGGACCATCCTCTTCTTCTTCAGGAATTCCTATAAGACAAATGTTTGATCTTTTGGAGTAGTCCCACAACTCTCTCAGGGAAAGATCAGTTTTTGTTCTTCACTTCTCTACTTCTTTGAGCATTTGGTAGCATTAAAAAGCTTTGTCTTCAACATAAGAGATCCTTTCTTCTGCCTGCTCCACTCTATTACTGAGGGATTCTACTGTATTATGAAGCTCCTTGACTAATTTTCTCATTTTTTCTAACTCTGCAATTTCTTTTCTCACAATGTCCAAATCCTTGGAGATTTTGTCTTTGAATTCATTGATTTCTTGAGATATCTTTTGAACTACTTCTTGAATTTCTAATTCCAACTTTACTTCCATTCTGTTAATCTTATTTGCCATCCATATTCTGAAATCTATTTCTTTTTTTTTAAATTAAATATAGCCTGATATATATTTCTGACATTTCAGCCATTTGTTTATGAATGGCATTTTCTGGCATATCTCCTTTTTTTTTAAATTTAATTTTATTTTTTTGAAACAGAGACTCAAGCTGTTGCCCTGGATAGAGTGCCATGGCATCACAGCTCACAGCAACCTCCAACTCCTGAGCTTAGGTGATTCTCTTGACTCAGCCTCCCAGGTAGCTGGGACTACAGTTGCCTGCCACAATGTCCGGTTATTCTTTGGTTGCAGCCATCATTGTTGTTTGTTGGGCCTGGGCTGGATTTGAACCCACCAGCTCAGGTGTATGTGGCTAGTGCCTTAGCTGCTTGAGGCACCGAGCTGGCATATCTCCTTTGTTTTTCCTTGGGGGTGTTGATGTACTCTGATTATTTATGTTGCCAGAGTTTTTCTGCTAGTTCCACCCCAAAATTATTTTTTACAGTTTGGCTAGTGAGGCTGGTAGGGTGAGATTGGATTTAAGGCTCCAGGAGTTGTAGTTAACCAGCCCTTTACCAAAGAGCTGGGGCTGGTGACTATGGTTTTTCCCCTATAGCTTTACAAAGGTCCCTTTCAGTCCTGTAGCCAGAGACGCTGAGAATCTGATTGGTGTGATGGAGCTAGGTGGCTCTGTCTTGTATTCTACCAGCCTCGATCCAATCCTAGTGAATCAGTGGCTTTGGGCTAAAATATCAGCTGGGGAGAGATGAAATCAACTAAGACTGTGACAATTGGGATATGAGAATCAGTCCCTCCCACTACAACACAACGAGGGCTCAACCTTGGAGGGTCTCCAGGTGGCTGGCCCAGGTCAAGAGTTCCAAACCAATTGTCCCAGGCAGCACAATCATTATTCAAGTGGTAGAGCTTATAAGGTCTCCAGCAACCAGATACCAGTGGTCCACTGGCAGCTTAAGTGTGACTCCCTCTGGTACTCAGTGGAGTCAGGAAGGCCTGCCCAGCAAAAGTTAGTTGAGGGTGGTTGGTGCCTGCTTCCCCACCTTACACTCAGCCATGCCCATCACTGGTAACCCCATGGGGCTGTGGCCCAGTTCTTTCCAATGAGAAAATGTGCCAGGGATTTGCATCTGCCAAAGTCAAAGGGGAGTCAATGCCTCCTCCACTGGGCTGCTGCACTCTGCCACCAGGAGGTAAGAGGAGCTCAATCCTCACTGCCTCTGGTGCTCATTGAAAACTGGGGAGTGATCCACCTGAGTCTGTTTCAAGCTGGGGATTGCCATCCCAACACGTGTCTTTCTCCCTCAGAGTCTGTGCCTCTGCCCAGCTGCACTCCTCCTCTGGTACCTCTGCCGGGTGAAGTCTGGTTCCCTCCAGTGGTCCACATAAATAGGGAAGTGTCTCTGCAATATTTGACCCTGGCAGTAGCATGCCACTACTGCTGCTGCTACCATTGTGCCTCCACCCGTGCTTCTGCCATTACCCTGCAGCTGCGACTCACAGCGCTGGGCCAGTCCTCCTCCCCCTGCATCTCCTCACTTCTACTTGAGTCACAGTTTCAGCACAGTGGTGCTGAGGCCATGCAATGTCCAGCCCCAGCAAGGATCCACCCGACACTCCAGGCTGTGCATGGGTGGGCTACCAGACCACCAAGCAAAGGGGTAAAGGTGGACTGGGAGTTCAGAATAGCAAGGAAAATATCTGTTCAACTTTTATGCTGGGCAAGAGAATGCCCAGGCTCACAGCGGGGTCTCTCTGGAGAAAGAGTCCCGGCCTTCAGCGATTCTCTCCCATGGGGTGAAAAAAGGGGTCTTCTGTTTATTGCTTGCTTGTAGAAAGCACACAGTGAGCCAGTCGCTTGTGGGAAGGGATGGACTCTCATCCTCTTTTGGATGGGTTTTGTACCTGAAATTTGCTTCCTTGGAGTCATAGCTTGCCTCTGCAGGGATGATGTGCACTTATCAAACTTCTCTCTCAGCTCAGCTCCTGACCTTCAGCTTCATTTGGTTCATGCTGACTATTATTTCTCTCTCTAGATGGGAGCTTCTGTTGAAAGCTGGCTCCAGTCGGCCATCTTACCTCCTCCCCCCAACATTCACATTTAAAAAAAATCAGTAACTGCTATACCTGTTCATCTTGTCTACTGCATTCACATTTGCATTCTTCTTTAACAAAAATTCCACCATGTTTTCTTTTTTTCTGCTTACAGCAAGTAAAAGTGGAGTTAGCTGATCCTGTATATAGCAAAAACAATTTATCATTCACAAAATTTTGTATTTCTCACCTGAACTGAAAATTCTATGTAAGATCCTATGAACTTACACATATCGGACAGAAAGTTAGTGTAAGTTGGCATCTTCCTCTCACCCTCTGTGCTCTCCGACATGCTGCTCCTTCCCTTCCAAGCTTCCCTCCTCTGCAGCTCCACAACAACCCCTACCACCTCTAAAAGTGACTCCATACATTGGAGGGTTCCAAGACTTCTTGTTTCTATCTCAACATTTATCATGGTAGACTGCAATTACTTTATTCATTTCCTTCTAAATCAAGAGCTTCTTGATTCTTCTTTAGGGCAGGAGCTGTATCTTTTATCTCCCTATTCCCAAAGCCTAGATCATAGAGTAAATATTTCAAGTATTTTTATTTTACTTTATAAGAATGTGAATACTATATCCCAACATAAATATTCTATGACCATCTGTGTTGGAAAAACAGTTCAAAACTGTGTACCATATGTCTAGTATAAAGAAATCTCTCAAATTTTGCCTAATCTCTATTTGACAATACTTTTTTTTGGCAAACATGTGAAGACATAAATCTACAGTTTTGAGAACTTTTCAGTAAATGTGGAAGTTTCTTTCAAGAGATACAAAGTCCTTTGATTTCCTCCTACCACCCAGGTGTAGGACCCCAGGTGCCAGTGTTGAGTACTTCCTCTCCAAATGGAGTCACTAGGGAAATGGGCTCTGAATAAACAGACAGGTTTCAAATTAACTTTAATTCCTTATTATTACATGGTTTGTGTTGTTTCTTCTATGACAAAATAATAGATATTTATCTCGGGTGATAGAATGCTTAGTAAGGTGTGTTCCCTCAATTATAATGATAATCCTGAGATGCTAATACATATCTACTTCTTGCTAATTCATTTTTATTCTAGTTTCCATTTTAACTGCTACTTAAAGTTATTTTTATTTTACATGAAATATAATTCAGAAATAAGAAGATAATGGCTTGACCTAAATATCAAGTCCAAATATCTAATAAAATTATGACTAAGCAATACTTATTTAAAAAATTGTTCCAACATCTATGCATTTACTATCTACTTATGTTTATTCTTCCCAGATTGTTTACTAGTTCACAGGCTAGCCAAAGCTAAATTATGAAAAGAATCCATATCTGTGTTCTTAGGAACTTCATGGCTCTCAGTGTTTAAAACTGCCATCCTGAGCTTTTTACAGAAGCTCCCGTCCAGAAGGAGGCTGAAAGGACAGAACCTTAGCAAAGTAGCGATGGTTTGGAGCAGAGACAAGAGAGAAGATTGAAGAGTGCACTTCAACCTTCCTGAGGCGAGCCGCGACCCTGAAACTACAACCAAAAGGTACAAAATCCACCACCAAGCAGACGGGAGTCCCCTCCCCCACAACACGAGCTCGCGCAGTTTACTCCATGCAAACAAGTGAGCTGAGTTCAAACTGCCTCCCACTCTATTCCATGGGAGAGACCCCCTAAAAACTGGACCTCCTACCCCCGCCAGCGTGCCACGGCACCCTCTGGCCAGACATAAAACTGTAAAACTGTATAAATCTGTATATATTC